TACCCCAAACAAAACGACAAGCAAGCAACCGGCTCATTAAGACAAGCTTGAGCCGCTTTCTAGATTTCCAACCCTTATCTTTCTTGACCAATTATAGAGTAAATACACATTTTGTCCTTAAAGTTGCATCTTAATTCTAAGTTGGTCTTTAAAGTTTGTTTTGTTTGAGCTCAGTCAATAAAGTTTCTTTACAGTTCCAATCTGATCACTGTGCTAGTGAGATTAGCTTTAAATCTACGTATATCGTGTTAGCGCCACTATGTATTTATTAGATGTTAATCCTATTGCCACGCAAGCTTCAATTATGCTAAAACGTGATGACAAAACCCTGAAACTTTATGTGTTTTGCTATGTACCCATAGCAAAAGTGTGGGCCCAGGCGCCCCCCCAATTGTGGATGGCCATGTGGCCATTATGTGAAACTTTATGTGTTTTGCTATATACCCATAGCAAAACTCTTGAAATTATACTGGATTTAGAAGAAAATAAACTTTTTAGAACCAGATTGAAATTTCACTACAACTTTAGGGACCAAATATGTAATTAAACGTACTATATACATTATGTCCAAGAGACCAAGACGAATCATTTCACACGAGAAAGCAGTTTAAAGACAAGAAGAAATTAATCAGTGGACAGTTAGTTTTATTAAACAAAAAGCTATATCTAACTCAGAATCCTGACCAAACCAGAAACCTTAAGATTCTGCCACATCGAACGCCAAGAAGTACATGAACACGAGTGCCCACAAATCCAAATCCAAATCCAAATCCAAATCCAAATCATTATTAATTACTTTAGAGCTTCCATTTTCAAAGAATTTTGAGTAAAATCCCAACAAGTGTCCTGCAAACACGAGTACAACAGCATCATCAGTTAAGAAGATGAAGAATAAGATAAGATTTAGCGACGAACAAACTCGGTCGCTAGAGACGATCTTTGATTCTGAAACAAAAATCGAGCCGAAGAAGAAGGTCCAGCTTGCAAGAGAGTTGGGATTGCAGCCTCGACAGGTTGCAATATGGTTTCAGAATAAGAGAGCACGGTGGAAGTCAAAGAAACTTGAGAGAAATTACAGCGTACTCATGGCTAATTACAATAATCTTGCTTCAAGATTCGAAGTCTTGAAGAAAGAGAAACAGTCCTTGCTTATACAAGTAACTATTCAATTTTACTCTCCTTCTTAAACGACGTGTTTAGTGCATAGTATTGGACAGTTCGCTTGATCTTGTATATGTGCTTCCAATCTAGCAGGCTAACTGCGCCTTCCGCCCGTATGGGTAATAATATCTAGTTTACCTTACAAAACAAGCTAGTTCATTGATTTGTATGGAGCAGCTAACATTCATTTCCAATGATAAATGAGAATCCTCCATCTTGATTTTCTTCATCCATAGGTTGCTAACTTAAGCAGTATTGAGTCATAGGATTGTATCTTAAAAAGTATACGGGATGATTAGTTCAAACCCTTACACGTCGGTTTGGGATTTTACTTTAACAGACCCCGTAAAAGAATGACTTGTTTGACTATACTAATATCTTCGAATGCAACTGCTTGTTTGAGCTTTGGACGATCTAGATTCCTTTAGACGAACTAAATTGCTTGTTTAAAATTTTTGGTCATGATATCATATTGGTATTGTCAGGAGTAGTTAAAAACATCACATGTTGGTTATTGACTTGCTATATTCATGTTCAACTGAACTTTACCCGTAACAAGCAGCATAGGACAGTGCATTATTTATAATGAACATGGGTTTTAACAAAGTAATCTTGAACAGTTAAAGAAGCTGAAGGAAGTTCAAGAAAATGCTGGAAATAGCAGCAATGATGAAGAACCAGCTATTGCCAATGGAGATAATATCATAAGTGAATTTGAAGCAGCAGAACTGAAGCCAAACCTATCAGAAAGACATATTTTTTCGGACGACGAAAACAGCATGAGATCTGCAGCAGATTATTTCAACAGATTGGATGAAGAAACTGAGCTTTTGAAGGTGGTGGAAGCTGCAGATAGTTCATTGACATCTCCTGAAGATTGGGGCCGTTTTGATTCAAAAGATTCTCCAACAAATAGTTATCAGTGGTGGGATTTCTGGTCTTGAATATATAGAATCGTGTACCAGCATGGAGGAATTGTATAATTCAAATAATTATTCCCCTTTTGATGTGTTATATATTATCACCAGCATCAGAGAATGCTATCTTGTAGCTCTTTCTGTCATTTTTAGAACTACAAATGCTGCCTCTGACAGAGAGAGAGAGAGTATTAAGCTTAGAAGCCACTGATAAATGCATTTTGTACACCTATTTGGATCGTATTACTTGGATTTTATGTCGTTAAATTATTAGTTTCTACTTAACGTGGGTTAATTTTCTTTTATTTTTAGTTATGGACTCGTCTTCAAGCAATTGGAAAGGAAGAAGGACAAAATCGAATGAAATCTACAATTTTGGAGATCAAATTTCATACTTGAAAAAGTGAAGGACTTGCATTGAATCAATTTCAAAGCAATTGAAAAAGAACGAATGATGAAATTGAATGAAATCTACAATTTTGTGGATCAAAGTCTACGCTATAGAAATGGAAGGACTAAATTGCATTAATTCTAAAGATTGGATGACTTGGATAAAGACAAAGTTATTGGGCCTTGAAAGGAAGTTTAAAATGGGTTGGACTTGCAATTGGATGGGGCTGAGAATGAGAAAAAAAAAACAGAGAAGAAAATGAATTTAATTCAACTACAACACTTGGGCGGCTAAGAGATTATATACACACACACACGTAGACAGGATTGAGGGAGGTTCTAGGGGGCTGAATTAGATTTACATACAGGAACCCGAAGCAGCTTAACAAGAAAGAGAAGGCAGAATTGTAAGGGGAAAAAAAAAAAAGACGACAACTTCAAGAATTAATTACTTTTCATCAATTTCTTGGTGATGTATTTTCAGTTATATTTGTTTAATTTCAATATTATGTTAGGCTAAATTATTTTGTGCTAGGATTTACGATGAAACTTGGATTATGAATTTTTGACTCGTGATTTTATTTTTGACATTCAAAGCACATTTTTAATTATTGAATAATTGGCATAGATTTAATTTTCCCTACAATTACTTGGTCAACAATTGTATGAATATTGTGGCTTGTTTTACCCTCGAGAGATGGAAAATAAGTTAGATATAGTGTCAATTGTCGTAGAGTCCGATACACGATAGAAATATATGGCTATGCTTTATGTGACTTTTAAGTATTCAAAAATCCAATAATACATTTTTATATGTTCGTATCCATCATATAAATATAGTTAAGTCATGTGTAAAATAGGTTTAATTCTACTCGAGAGAAATTGTTAAACAAATTAGAAATATTGATTTTCATAATTAAATCGTGTCGTCAAATTTAAAAGTTCAAGTTAAAAATGATTAATATAAGGGAATTCGGAATTCTAGTACATTTTTCGTCATCATATTTTTACAACACTTGCATTTAATTTTAATCTTGCATTAATTTTAATTAATTTAGGTCTTGTTTTTATACGTAGATTATTTAATTTATAGAAAAAATCATAAATTTCAATTAGTTTGGTTAAAGCTAAGTTAACTCGACTTAAACTAAATCAATCTCAGTGGGAACTATAATTGGGCTCAAAATTCATTTTACTACCTGTTAACGAACCTCACATTTGTGGTGGTTTTAAAACTAACAAATATTTTCGTGAACAATTTTTTGGTGTCGTTGCCGGTGATTGAATTTAGTTTGTTTTTAATTATCTTGACATTAATTCAAACATTATTTTATATTTAATTTGTTTTAGTTAATTATTATTATTATTATTTTATCAAAGTGTTCCTAGTTTTGTATGCGAATGTCACTTGACGGTGACTTGATTTCAGCTTATCCAGAAATCGAACGCACCTTCCATCGTAGGCATAGAAACGCAAGAGCAGTATAGCAAATGGCTAACGCGCTCAACGAACAAGTGATTCAAGTTAATGAAGAGGAAATTGTTGATGAGGGAAACATGCCGGTTAGAGATTTCATGACACCGTAAATCATTCAGAGTCAATCCAGCATCGTCTACCCTCCGTTTGGACAACCAAATTTCTAGTTGAAGACCAATGTCATACATCTATTCCAGAATGGACATCAGTTTTATGGCAGAGCTAAAGAAAACCCACGTACATACGTCTCTCGATTCTTGGAAATGTAACAACACTTCCAATATTAGGGTATCTCAGATGATATTATCAACTAAGGCTGTTCCCACACACACTACGTGATAATGCACTGGAGTAGTTGGATTTTCAACCTATTTCTAGCATCAACACATGGGACGACCTAGCTCAGAAATTCTATACAAAATTCTTTCCACCGACTAAAATTGCAAAATTGAAGCATGATATCTCTATTTTTCGTCAAGGTGATTCAGATTCTTTTGATGAAGCTTGGAACAGATTCAAGAGCATGTTTTAGGAAGTGTCCTCATCACGATATTAGAAAGGACTCCAGGTTCGGTATTTCTACGCCGGATATGTTTTAGGAAGTGTCCTCATCACGATATTAGCAAAGAACTCCAGGTTCGATATTTCTACGCCGGATTGCTTCCATCGTTCAAAAGTATGGTGGACTCTTCGTCTAGCGGCTCTTTATCTACAAGGACAATTGACGACGCTTTGAAGTTATTCGAGACAATGGCTACAACTTCAGCCATGTGGGCTTCTATAGAATAGTTCAAAAGAGTGCCAGGTGTATACGAAATGGATGCTTACTCAAATTTATCTGGAAAGATTAACTCATTATTTTATAAGGTGTAGAGCATATCACATACAGCCAATACAGCGCAAACCAAGAAGCCAAGTTGCAAAGAGTGTGGGGCAGATCATAACACAACAAATTGTCCTATTCTGTTATAAGGAATGGAAAAATTGGATTTTACACAATGGGGACAACGTCAACGAATGATCCACATTCAGAGACTTACAACCCAGGTTGGAGAAAGCACCCAAACTTCTTTTGGGGTGGTCAGAATCAGAATAGGCCACATCGTCAATTTCAATAGCCGGAGAAGAAGTTGCAGCTGAAAGAGATGTTCGGTAAATTCATAGAGAGAACAAATCAGTACATGGAAGCCAACAATCAGTTTATGGGAAAAATTGAATCAACTCTCCAAGATCAGAGTGTTGCTATTAAAACCTTAGAGACTCAGATGTGACAGATGACACTATCTATGAATGGCAGAGCACCAAGTTCACTACCCAACAATACAGAGATCAACCCAAAGGAACAAGCTAAAGCAATAACAACCAGAATTGAGGTGCAATTGCGAAAATCCATGTCAAGAGACCTGTGGCGAGTAATGAGAAAATGCCTTCTTCGAGTGAGGAGCAAGTGGAACAGATTGAACAGACACCTAAACCACATGTTAAGGAGAGTTCAGAAATACCAGGGTTAAAGAGAACAATCATATCAGTCCTTATGAGCCTTTGATTCCATTTTCCTAAATATTAAAAAAGCACAAGTTGGATCAAAAGTACAAGAAATTCTTAGAGGCCTTCAAGAAAATACATAACATTCCATTCGTCGATGCACTAATTCAAATGCCTAGCTACATCAAGTTCTTGAAGAACATTTTATCTAACAAACGCAAGCTAGAGGAGCATGAGAAGGTAATGCTAACTGAGAAGTACAGTGCTAGAATCCAGAAAAAGCTACCTCCAAAACTTAAAGACCTATGGAGTTTTATTGTACCTCGCATTATTGGAAAAAGATACCTTCAAAACATTGACTGACACCCAACTAAACTATGCCGCTACAGAGAAGGAACTGTTAGCGGTGGTCTATGCCTTTGACAAATTTTGGTTATACCTGTGGGATGAAATGTCATAGTCTACACTAATCATACCACCTTAAAGTATTTGTTAAAAAAGAAGGACGCCAAACCAAGACTTATCCGTTAGGTGTTACTACTATAAGAATTCGATTTGGAGATAAATGACACGAAGCGTAGTGAAAATGTGGTAGCAAACCACTTATCTCGGCTGGAGTTAAAAGAGAAGAATGATTCCATCGACATTAATGAATTTTTTCCAGACAAGCAGATTTTTAGCATGGATGGAGTGCCTTGGTATGCTGACATCGTAAATTATTTCGCCAACTCTATCATACTACTGGACTATTCGAGTCATCAGAGGAAAAAAAGTTTTTCGCTGACTTGAAATATTATTTTTGGGAAGATCTCGTTCTATATAGGCGAGGAGCAGATTAGATTATTCGAAGGTGTGTGCCGAGAAAGAAAACCCTAAAATTTTGGGGCAATATTATTCATCTGCATATGCGGGTCATTTTGGGGCATACAAAACAGCATTAGAAATTCTACAATCTGGGTTCTATTGGCCTTCAATATTTCAGGATCCTTTTGAATTTGTGAAGCGGTGTGATATGTGCAACGCACTAGCAATATCTCGAGAAGGAATGAGATGCCTCTAAACAACTTTCTTGAGGTGGAACTTTTTGATGCATGGGGAATTGATTTCATGGGACCGTTCCCACCATCATTTTCAAATCAATACATACCGGTTGCTGTTGACTACGTTTGCAAATGGGTGGAAGCTATAGTATTGCCAACCAATGACGCTAAGGTGGTGATTGGATTTTTAAATAAGTATATTTTCACCCGTTATGGCACTCCTTGGGCTATAATCAGTGATGGGGGCAATCACTTTTGCAATCGTCATTTTGAGTCATTGTTGGCTAAATATGGCGTCCAGCATTGTGTAGCAACTCCATATCATCCTCAAACCAGCGGCCAAGTTGAAATCTCTGACAGGAACTTGAAAAGGATACTACAGGTAACAGTGAGCTCTTCTAGGAAATATTGGTCTCAGAAGCTTGACGATGCACTATGGGCTTACAGGACAGTGTTCAAAACACCTATAAGCATGTCTCCATACCAGTTGGTTTTTGGGAAAGCATGTCATTTACCAGTTAAGTTGGAGCGCCAAGCATACTGACCAGTTAAGAATTTAAACTTGATTTGAAGGCAGCTAATGAAAAGAGATTGCTACAATTGAATGAAATGGATGAATTCCAACTGGGGGTGTT